TCAGTTTGCTGGCCACAAACACGCATAATGCCTGCTAATGTCATCTTATCAAAATGAACAATGGCCATCAAGAATGGAGCTCTGAGCTCCGGAGGAGGTGTACAAACTCCATTTCCTCCCTTAATCGGCACATGTGCTGAAAGCACGGATGAACACCTACAGTTTCCCTCCTGCTATACCCGGCAACCGAAAAATGCTGTTTTTTTCCCAGATAAATGTTTCACAGTCCAGTAGCTTTCCTGGTTGACAAGGAGATGCAAAACAAAACCCGTTATGGCTCATTCTGTTGTGAGGACACCTCATCATTTTTATGACTTTCAACTTTAAGGTTTTAACACTGAGTTGGAATGACTAAGACAAATCGCTTAGATATTAGTTGTATTATTGAGGTTTAGCGGTGAGGGTCTTGCATACCATTCATCCTTCTGATTTAAAATTTCCATCACAAAAAATATTAACAGCTACGAGGAAGAAAAATAACAACACCTTCAAAATTATGTTCTGCCGCTCCCACAATGGTGCACCAAGCATTATCCCCAGCATGATCCCAGATTGGCCATTTCATTATAAGGCGTTAGTTAATGCAACGAAACACATCCCCGTCCCAAGTCGCGGACGCTCCGTGCCCTGAAATTCCCTGCTCATCATCCAACAGAAATCGCAGTGTAAGTAAGCAGCCTGAGTTAATTTACGGCCTTGGCAAATCATTGCACCTTAATCCCGAAGAGCATTTGCTGGAAATTCTCAAGGGGCGCTTACGACTGCGGCAGCCGTCTCCGTCAAGCTGACAAAGGCCGAGGGAATTCCTCGTGGAAGACGCATCCCCGACACGTGTTAATGTATGTCTTATTATGTATGTGCCATAAAGCTTTCACACTGGGACCAAACATCGAACTGAGAAGCACCGTGTCGCTGATTCCATTTTTTCCCCATTAGCTGTAGGCTATATTACCTTTTTCCCCATTATGAAAAAAGCCCATCAAAATAATTATAAACAAAAACATATGCATTCTATTTATGATACACGCCAGGTTTTACCCATTTGGGTTAGCCAGTGTTACATTTTGTCCCACTGAGTATGTCCTCTGCACTCATTTATATTTCATTATCTATTTTTCAGGCAACAGAGACTCGTTTTCATGTTTTTTCTTCCCATTTGTGCGCTATAATTCTGTTTTATTATGAGGCCCCCCGATGGACAGAGTGTGTAACTTCTCTGCGCGCCAGATAAAATTAAAAAGGTGTCAGTGAAGCCATCAGTGGACGCTTGGTGCGGGCTGTCAGAGAGGAGTGGAAGTAGCTAAGGCCGATTTGCATACACGCGCTTATGTTGATGTAAACTGTAGACTAATTTACTTCGACTCTAATCAGACACGAAAAAAAACAGCACACCACGGGGAATTTGCCGATATTGTTAAGAGCCTCAAAGCCGTGTGCTTGATTTTGTCCTCTTATCGTAAACTCTAGCATATCGCTGTGAACGAATGTGCGCGCTCCCGAGCTGCAGCGCGAGTCTCTAATATGAGAGGTGTGCTTAACCTGCACCTCTGCTCAGACTGTGGGGCCGGTAGCTAAAGCCCAGTCCTCTGCTGGAGCTGTGAGCGTTCATCACTAAGAGCCACTTTTGGCATATTGACGTCAGTCCTCTTCGAACGCGGTGGCTGTCAAGCGAGTCTAGCAGAGGGAGGGCATGTGCTGAGAGAATACAAATGCTAATTTTAATGCATATATTTAAACTTCTCGCTGCCTTCCGTTCTCTTCAAGGTCTTTTTAAGTTTTAATTTAATACAAAATTGTCTTGTTATGCTAAAATTCCTAGTGATCTGCTTAAAAAACACACCAGCTCCTGTGAACCACAATTCTATCATTCCTCTTTCAAATAGGCCTAATACTGTGCAGTGGTCAGCTGGAAACAGGGAAAACCTACTTGTTCTTTAAAATTGTTTTCAACTTTGAGCGAGCAATGGGAGTCTGATAAGACTGGAAAGACACTTAGTGCAGTTTCAGACGAAATCAGCATGATCTTCAGGTTCTTCGTCACCCAAATAATCAGAAAGTGTTGTTAGTCTGCTACATTCTCACTAACGGAGGTTAAACATATCAGGGATTATTTATTTATTTATTTATTGATGCGAGCAGAATTCCCCTTTTGTCCTGAATTCGTATCCCATGGCAAGTTAACATTAAAGCGTCAAAAACACGCCTTACATATTAGTAAAGGACATATTTGACACCAGTGGCTGAGCCAATAGCGTGCAGGGGTCCCACTGCAGGCCCAGTCCACCCCACTGTCATTGGCTCGAAGAAATGAATATACTCAGAAGTCAGTGACTGCTTATTTTTACACTTCGGATACCTATTTCACGCCCCCCCCCCCCTTCCCCAAACATAGCAAGAACCAAACATAGTTTCAGAGGCTTAGTGCTCCTAAAAGATATATTTCCTCTTAAGCAAGTCAATAAGGCTTTGATAAAAAAATGATCCAGTGGGTATTGCCATTCGTATTGATCCCCACATTAATATACTTGGGGCAAGTGTAGTTTTTCCTGAGACAGTGAGATTTAGTTATAGGCTTAATTATTAATCCATATTTTTTGCTTATCTGATTTAAAAATTCTGCAATAATAACAATGTATTATTTTGTTTGATGTAACTATCTTTATTAAAATACAAACTCCATAAAATCATAATAGAGCAATCACCCTTTATGATTATGTTTGCATTCTTGGTTGGTTAGGCTTAAACCCTTTTTATCTAGTCAAAACAAGATCTGCAATGATCAGTTTCTGCAGTATGGTTTAGGATGGCTCAGGGAGTAGGAAAACACACTAGGGACTGAAACGCTACAAGACAGAGTGGAGATACAGCATGGCCAGCGACATCTTGGGGCGATGGTGGTGCAGGAGGTAGTGCTACCGTTCGGCAACCGGAGGGTTGCAGGTTCGAGCCCCGGGTCCTCCTGACCCCATCGAAGTGTCCTTGAGCAAGACACTGAACCCCGAATTGCTCCCGGTGAGCTGGTTGGCACCTTGCATGGCAGCCTCCGCCACCGGTGTGTGAATGTGAGTGTGGATGGGTGAATGTGAGGCATACATTGTAAAGCGCTTTGGTAAAAAGCGCTATATAAATGCAGTCCATTTACCATTTACCATTTACATCTGCTGGCCAAATGGGGATAAGACACACGAGACAGGGTCAGACAGTTACCAGTCCTGACAAGACTGTAAAAATATATATAGAATCTGCAATGGGAATCTAATGTCACACGACTTTCAAGCTCTGCATATGAGCATTGTAAATGAGCACTGCACAAATGCATTTAACTCAGAATTAACTTCTTTGTGTGATACATGCAATTGTGTGAACTTAGCAGATCACAAGGAAATGATCCTGTGAATAGGCTGTAACTGAGTAGCCTAGTTATTTGCAACTGTAGTCAGTGTACTTTTTATTATCTGTACACCCCTTGGGCCTATACCTTTGTGGTTAGTGCCTGGGTGAGAATAAGTTGAGACAAGATTTTAATTACATAAATATACATCCCATTTTTTTTTTTTACAATTTCTCACCGAGGGCCACTGGAAAAGCTGGGACTGGCTCTGCTAGTTTTAAAGACTAAATCTACTGAGATTTCATCCAGGCAATGTATCCCTGTGGGAAGAGGAAGGAGAGAGAAAAAACACAGCAAACAAAAAAAGCAACATCTGACAGTTTTGGGTATATATGGGGGGTATAAATTGTCCTAAGGGATTGGCCGTCTAATTTGTCACTGAAATTTCCATGTGGAATGCAACGTGACTGATCTTAACTTTTCAGTACATGCATTTTTATGCAGTTTTTACTTTTCAGATGACCATTCAGTGTATTAAATTGCAACGTAATTAAGTGACAACAGTTTTTATTTAAAACTATACCCAACCCTAACCCTTTGAAAAGTCCTCGTAGCAATAATGTTTTCTAGGAAAAACACTGGCATCATATTCAGTTGTGAATTTCATCCAAAGAGTTAGCAAATAATAAATATAATTTAATTTAACAATTTAATGGAAAATGAATGAATACCAAGAAGTTAATTTGAACAATTTGCCCCCTGCAATATATGGAATGCTGCCAAAAGGTATCACCAGAAGCAGCATTTCCACAATTGTTCTATTAGCTATGGCTAGTAATTAACATTGTGATATTGTAATTTCCACTCAGCATAAAACAAACCATTTTGTTTGAATTTTGTTTGCATGGTGGTGCGGTGGCTAGTACTGTTGCCTCACACTTCTCGGATCTGGGCTCAAGTCTCCACCAGGGTTCAATGTGTGTGTAATTTGCAAGTTTCCCCCATTTCATCTTGGGGTGTCCTCTAGGTGCTCTGCTTCCCCCTACTGCCACCCAAAAACATACTGAGGTTAATTGGATTTACCAAATTGCCTGTAGGTATGCACGTGTGCGTGAATGGTGTGTGAGTGTGCCCTGCGAAAGGTTGGCGCCCCATCCTGGGTTGTTCCATGCCTGGCACCCATAACCTCCAGAATAGACTCTGGACCCCGTGTGACCCTGAATAGGACAAGCAGTTACAGAAAATGAATGGATGTTCCTGTCATGCCCGGTCCATCAGACCGTCCTGTTTCCTCTCTACCATGGCCTAACATGCCACACCTGTTTTCATTGTCCTACCCCCTGTTCCTTACCCTTGTGTGAATCATTTCCAGCTGCCTCTTGTTCACTCCTTCATTAGTCATGTGTTTAAATGCTCCCCAGTGCCGTGTTCCCCAGTCTAGGCACTGACATCAAACCCTCATGTTGCCTGTGCCTTCCCATGTTCTCACCCTCCTGTAGTGATCCCAGTGATCATGTTTGTTTCTAGTATATGTTCTTCAGTTTAATAAAACCCCTTTTATTTCACCATCACACCTTCTCCCAAGTCCTTCATCCCTCATCCCATAACAGTTCTTTTGAACCTCTGAGGCAACTCCTGTTACTTTTTTATGGTAAGAGGAACAGAATGATCCATTTTACACATTCATTTATTGGTATGATCATGGCATTATACAATATATAGTGGTCAGATTTATTCTGAGCAGTGCAGAAGTAATCAAGTCTTTGAACACATTTTTCCACCAATCATCATGTAAGTAAATCCTTACATAGTTGTCAGTGGTAGATACGGATATGATCTAAGGAAGTTTCAGCTTTTTTGGTGATGCAATTGGGGTTTGAGCCATTGGAGTGAGACTGGGATTTGTGTTTCACCATTGATTGCTCCTAGTAGAGTTGGTACATTATTGTGTCAGAAGTTTGTAGGCGTAGGTTTGTTTTTTTTGGTGTTACTCATATTTGCAAGCTATTTTTTTCCCCCCAAAACTACAGTTATTTTGCTGCACAAGAGTTTTCTGAGAGGGGCTGGAATAAGAGAAGCCCTTCTGGATAATTACTGATGTGACTATGTGGCTTGCATTAGCGAGTCACATCGAGCAAAAGGTGTCACACTTCTGCAGCTTTTACCACGTATAGTTATATATAGAGAAAATGAAACACATCACATAAACATTACCCTCCTAAGCTGAGAATTGCTAGGTGGAGAACTGGCAGAGCACCAGTCTTAGTCTGCAGCATATTGGTTAAAGACATGATCTTCTAACATGAATATTGCCTCTTCATATTCCAGGATGGGGTCTTATCATCTAACCCCTAAGTGAGATTTCTTAACATACAGTCAGCTAGTAAAATGTCCAGCTGTGAAATTTGCTCTATTTGGATAAAGAAGAGCCACAATTGAAACAAATACATGTAAAATAAACAGCCACCAAATTAATTGTAAACTCTGCTGTCCTCATATCGAGTCATACAATTTAATCAGAATCGTATAAACAAATGCCAGTGCAGAACAAAGTTAAAAACATATGTCTTAAAGTCACAGATATTTTTAAGAAGATTCTGTCCATGTAATACTTTGTTACTTGGCTTTACTGAAATAGGAGCAGACCATAAATGGGAATAACTGATTTCAACACATAAATTGAAATCAGTAACTGAATTACCATTGTTTTTGAATGGAACCAATTTTGGGTTATAAATAATAGAGATATTTTGTGACCATTTCAGTTTGTGTCTTCCATGTTTGTTTGTTTAAACTGTTTACAAATACAGCCATTAGTGAGTCACACAGCAACATCATTCTTACTTGCACGAATCCACTAATCCTGGACTCTTCCTAATTGAGCCTACCCTTTGAATTGTTCGTCGGAAGAATGACTCAAGAAATACTCACTTATTTGGGTTGTTTGTAAGTCAAGAACATGACATATAGACGGTAAAAATTCAGTGTCACGACTAAGAAGTTCTTGATGGTAAAAAAGAGCAGCATTTGGTGGACAAGTTTGAAGTGGCCCATTATTACAATTCGGACTAATAGGAAGGGGCCGTCCTGAATGAGGAGACTTTCCACGATATTCCATAGATCAGTCTGGTGCCTCCTGAGGAATGAGCCATCCTCAGACGCCTCTTCAGTCTTGGGGTTTACCACTAAACACCAAGCAAATGGAAAGCAAATGAGAAGTATGTCTTTAACAGAGAGCAATGCAATTTCAGCAGCAGGCGGTCATGCATGAAGCAGGATTAACAGCTCTGCCATAAAGGAGAAATAGCATTTACAAACTTGCAAAAAACCTTGCAATTACGTTTTTTTCATTGCATATCGTGCAATAAAAACATTGTGTGTATTTTGGGGGGGCATTCAATCCAGGACAAACAGTGCTTAGACCACACATGACATAGTGACATATGACGATATCTTTCACAACTGTAACCTAGAACTATATGAAGTATGCACACATTTATTATATAACCATTGTCTTCACACCTTATCTGTTTATGTGCTTGGCAGGCTGAAACACGTAACATCATGTTGATAACAGAGGATATATGAACAAGGCCATATGCTTCAAGCTCTTTCCTAGCTCTATATAAAAATGCACCAAGAATAAGGGGTTTGGCCTGCTGGGTACTGAGCAGAACATCTGGAATCTGTACTCGGAGCAGATTTTAATTCTGGGTGAGTAATGCGGTCACATGGGGTAATTCATTTCAATCACCAACACCAACGAGCGCCCATAGCAGCAAAATGCTAATAGACGTGCAAGAACGAGCACAGAAGTAGGTCCCTTATGAAGAATGTAATAGCGGAGGGGGCAGAGTGTTCGGCCGGCGTGTGAAGGCCTACCTGAGAGGTGGAGCGGGAACTGCAGCATGCTCCACGTCCAGATGCCGAGGGTGATGTACATGAGCTGAGGATTATTCTCCCTGTCAAGAGACTCAGGCAGTGTTAACAGACACAGATTTGACAAACAGTAGAGAGGGAGGATAATAATGCATCTGATGTGTGTGATAAGAAGGAATTTGTTTTTATGCAGGGAAGAAAACATTTTTATTTCCCAAAACCAGTATATAATGATGATGTGGGCTTGCCATTAAATATGTGGGAAGTACAGTGGTTTTGGCAGAGTAATATCATCTAGCTGTGGATATTCTGTTCATAAGAATGTTGGCAGCTTGTTGGAAGGTTCCCAGTTGCATATTCCCATTGCATTGTAGCATTACCGTTACAAGAAATTTATATTTACGCTGAATTCCTCACATATTTCCACTGTTTTTTTTTTTCTCGCAGACTAATGGGACTTATCCGGGCCATCAGTGGCGAGCACGGAAGCTCACTTGACATCAGAGATGGTCTCGCTGGTAAACTCCAGGATGTCGGCGGCCGTGCCCGTGAAAATGAGCAGGAGCTGGGAGAGCTCGTACTTGGTGACGTCCACCCCGATGGGCATCAGCCACTTCCCGACGATCAACAGGATGAGCAGGATTTGGTGCAGTGCCAGGATCCAGTCTTTGGGGCACACGGCTTTCAGTGCTTCCTGGCAGGGTTAACGGGAGCACAAGCAAGTATCACTCTGGGGGTCCGGCGATGGCCTTTCTGTAGGCCAGCAAAATAAATAAGAATTTCCCAAGTAGCTGTTTACTACATAAGTCTAGACCTGTGCCCCAGAAAAGTGATCATTTTGGGAATGTGCCGCCCAAATGAAAAACCTTAGCATGACAGGTTTGCATTGTTTTTCTGAAAATATTGTAAATGTTTTATTGAAGTTTGCAGACTGTTACTTAGATTTCTTTGTTACTACTTCCGACAGTTAATTAAGAGATGCTGAGATGTTTGACAAAACAGGAAGCTGTGTAACTGGAAAAAAAAAAAAACCTGCATAAATTTTGGGGGCACAAGTAACTTAGTTACTTACTACTCAAGAACAAATAATGTACTAATATGAAATCCATGAACCATCATGACTGATTAATGATGAATGAACATGGGATGAGTAGATAAGTAACTATTCACTGATTAATTAATGCATTAAGTATGAGTGTAATACTACATTTTTTGTGTCTCCTAAAATAAAGTGCTACCCAAAAATATATATAATATGACCAATTTAGAGAACTAAAAAATTAAAATGAAAGGGAAGAAAGAAAGAAAACAAACTTACAGTGGTGCTGTTAACATGTGTAGCATTGTGGAAAAGATCGTCCAGTTTTTTGCACTAAAATGACAGATTGCGAACATATGAGCTACACGAGCACAATGATGTAACAAAAATGTATAGGTTTTGTGCGACTGGTGGTTAATTAAAGTTGCACAGCTATACACATTTGGTTGCTTCGATCAAAATACGTTAAGAAATGTTCTCAGAAATGAAAGGAAATGCAAAAATTTATCAGATGTAAAACTGTCTTAGTTGAAATCCTAAATTACCTGATGTGCATTTGATTTGTCACTATAATGGTGTATTTCCAAAATCCACATAGACGGTATGATGCAGATGAGAAACAGAAAGATAGCTGGCGAGAACCTATTGGATAAAACAATCAATCTGTATATGTTCACATAAGCTGTAACTACTATACGTTTTATTTAAAAAAAAAAAAAACACTCATAATGAGGAAAAAAAACAGCAACACTGCTTATCGAGTTATCGGCTAACTCGGAGCACATAATTCATACCTAATTATCATCATCATCATCATCATCATTATCATCATATTTCTCAGTATAACAAACTGCTGAGTTTTTATATGGCACAACGCAGAACTGCGAATGTTCTGCAGTGCATGAAACCATCGCTAAGACCGATAGAGTATCATCTTTGAAAACCATGGTCGTAACTTTAAAAGACAAGTCGCCTTACCACGTATAATCCATTCCCTTTCTTCTCTTCAAAGTTACAATCATTTCTAAAATAAGTGGCAAGTAGAGAATGATCAGTAACCAATAGTAGTTACTATGTTTAACCAATGTAACTCTCCATACTGCGATAAGTGAAATGAGAATGAACAGTAATCTAGTAATAACTGCACATATAAACTTAAGTACTACCATTTTTTAATGTAACGTGTTTAATAAACCAGTGTACAATGGTTTCAGAATTGTTTCTTAAATGGGCTATATTTGTATATTTTAAGCCTGACGTAAGAACTGTCTGCCCCACCCCCTCATTACAGCCACTGATAAGGCATTAGGTTCTTCTATGGTTGTTCTTATCCATTCGCAGCAAATGTCAACTGCACGAGCTTGGGGTGGTATTATCTAGGGTGACCAGATAATCCATGTCAGGGAGGACACTTTGAGCTACTTCGGGTTTTACAAACTATACTTTCAAATTAAAAGGCTCCTGTGCTCGGCTAAATAGTTCAGCTCTTCTTGTGCTTTGACTAGTTTGTTTCCTTGACTGAAAGACTCATCCAGCTGTTTCACATTAGCATTAGTGACACATGCATGATTATAGGAGACTGACCAATCAGCACACAGCAAGAACTCAGTGCTCAAGTCAAATCCAGGTCCGTTTAATTGAAATGGTAATTTACAATTCCTGTCCTAGCTCAGAGTGTCCTCCCTGACATGGATTATCTGGTCACCCTAGCATATTTACAAATACTGAAATTCAGTTAATTCATAATTGCCTAGATATGCTGACTGTTTGCTTTGGTTTACTGAAACAGGTAGGCTAAGCACACTGGGCTACACTCTCTGTAAAACAGCTAATAAATCTAACTACGCAATATTTTCGGTGATCACAGTCTAATTCATCCATTCAAAAAGTGTAATGTTGCACCTTCCATAGTGCTCTAAAAGTCATAATAATGTTTAGATTAAGTTCTTTTTCGTGTTTACTTCTTTAGTTTCTGACATGAAAAATGTTTGTTTACGTGGTGACGTAACCATCGTGACGTTGGATCAGGCTGCTTGCAGAAACTCTCAAGTACCCCCGAGGTCAGGGGTGGTCCGATCTCGCGGGAGGCGTGGTCTATGCGACGTACCTGGCCAATAACAGATGGCACACCTGTATAACCCAACCCACCTACAGGCAAACCGAATACGGGGCATCTTCTGACTTCTTTAATTGAACAGACACATCTGAATGCAAAACAATCCGTTTGCAGTTTCCTTTTGTGATTGATCTAGTAAAATTGAAATTGAAAACTACCGTTTTTTATTTATTTCATTGACAGATCAATCACACACACACAGGCTCTGTATCAGGATAAAAACTTCTAAAAAACTTATTTGTCTGTATCCCACCCACTGTGTAGACATTGGGTATCGCTAAAAATGCCAGTTCTGTTTTGACAAGTAAATGTGATCTGCGTTTTTTATAAAAACCCATGAACATAAATATCAGCCTCATGAGGACAGTATATTCACAGACGTGTATGATTCTTAGTCATGTTCCAATACTCTCCATGCTTCCTTTTGATCGAGGCAACCAAAGGTAATTCTTGGTGAAGAAAAATTGTCCTGTTTGAGAAAATTGCATTTCTGCGTTGAGCTTGTGGGCGAAGCGCAACTTAGAAAACGTCAATATGTCTGCGCTATATTGACATCAAACTTGTTTATTCCACTTTTGTTCAATCAAACAGAAAATTACATTATTACTAATATTGGAAAAAACAAAATGTTATATACTACAGAAACACGCTAGGGAAACGCAGGCCTAAGCATAATGACATTTAGTGTGGAATGCAGCGTTTCTTACGGACATGGTATATTTAACATCTAAGTAAATATATTGTGATGTGATTTGAAAATATCCAAGTATAATTCTCGAGAAAAATAATGCTTGATGTGTGTATAATGAGGAACGTGGCCTACATTCAGCAGCGATTTTTACCACGATTCAAACCCCATACTCACGTCGGGCCCCAAAATGGTTCTTTTGTTGGGGCCCCTGAAGCAGCAAACCGGCCCCAGCCTGGATCACAGGACACATAATTCTGTCTGCTAAACGGTGCAATGCATTCTAGAAAATACATTCCATGGTTGATAACTAAGTGTACTATGTACTAATTCAAGAACAAAAACACATCGTGCCTGACAGGTCTTATTGAACAGGAACAGGTCATTATGCTTTATGGACAACTATGCTGTAACTGTCAAATACCAATATCAGTATTCCAGTGGAAACAGCTATTTTTATATTATTATTATTATTATTATTATTATTATTTGCCTTTGATAGTTGTGAGCTAAGACAATAGATATGTAAACAAATCTCATGTTTCAGCTCCATTGCAAACATCCATCCATTATTCAACCACTTACCATGGTTATGGTTATAGGAAGCTACTTTATGGCACAAGGCTTGGGTACACCAGGCTATGGCAAGTCACATGCAATTTATGAGGAATTTAAAGGCACCATTTAACTGCACTGGAGAAGCCAGAGGAAATGTGCAGACTCTACATGTGTGGAGTGTGGGTGGGAATCATACTCTTCACCTTGGAGATATTTATTATGTTTTGCTTGTTTTCTGTACCCAAATATTAATTTGTTAACAGCTTGAAACAGACTATTTGGCATCAGTATGTAATGCATACAGTTCTTACACTGTACCAAAAAGCCATATTTATATATTTATTAAAGTGAGGCAATATTGCCTAGCAATTTCTCAAAGCAACAGCTAGGATCAGACCTGCGGAATATCTGCTTTTTGTGTGATGTAGCTCAGAGTATTCACCCATCACAGATTGCTGGCTCGTGGGAGTTTTACTTACACAAAAATGTTTTGAGGGCACAAGGAAGAAATGATTTGTTCAGTGAGATAACCAATCAGATTGGAGAGGAGGTGTGTCCAAGCAACTAGAGGAGGTGGGACCGAGACATCTGATTGGTTGGTCCCTCATCATTTTTCCTTCTGCTCTCAGAATATTTTTGTGTAAGTAAAACTCCCATGAGCTGATTGCTTCCATTCGTGCTATACCTGTTGTACCTTCTTTGGCACAATTAAGTTCTCCAGCACCTGCCACATGGAGTGGATCTTATGCTTGACAACATCTGTACTTCTTATTCTCAAAAAAGAAAATTTCATTAACAAAGTAGAAACAAGTGGTATTTACAGGTCACATTTACTATCGAGGGTGCGTAGGAGAGAGTATGATATGGTGGGGGGGGGGGGGGG